ATGCATACAAAATATATCTCATATCTAAATTGCAGTTATCTAGACATAATTCATCCACAACTTCCATCTTTAAACAAAACCTGGTTAAAACCCTGATTTACAAAGTGTTCAAAATACTAGAAAATCAAAACGTTTTTATAGCATAAGTTGAGAATATTAAATAAATACTCATAAGAAATTGTTTTCCTTTGCCATTTCTAAATAAAATAGTCCACACTAAAACTAAACACCCCATCTGTTGTCCTGGTAGATGTTCTGAAGAAAACTATCATTTTAGTCACACCCTACTTTGGCATTATTTCACACATGACTGAAAAGAAAATTATCAAATACCTTATTCACAAATACAGTTAAAAGGTATCTTTAAAACAGTTTATAAAGAACTTTTCAACTTTAAAGACAAACAATGTTCACTGAATACCTTGCTAGTTTATACGAGTTCATGTGCCTGAGGTGCAACCAGAAATATATTGGATCAACTGCTAGAAGGCTCTATAATCAAATAAGAACACACTGTAATGTGAAAAACCTACAACACCAGAAGTATTATTAACCACTGTCTAAACAAATGCGATGTTGTACCAACTTCCAATTTCTTCTACATCATCCTCCATTCCTGGGAAGAATTCCAACTTACAATATTAGAATCTCTTGCCATCAGGCTAAGAAAACCAGCTCCTAACTAGAAGATGATTGCACTGCCACTACATTTTCAATTACGAAAGACTAAAGAAAGAACAGAATGTAAACTTTGATTGGTGTATTTTGTATCAAATAAGCCACACACAGAAAAAAAAACAAACAAGGTTCAGAAATTGTTGTGAAACATTTACTGCAGCAGTGTATTAGCACAAAAATGTTTTACATCTGTACAGATTTTTAGTAGAGTGGCTTCATTTGCAAGTTATAAATTGTGAGGTAGCAACTTTTATTTTTAGTTATGATTTTCTTTGCTATTTTAGATCATTGTTTTCTTTTTATCATTTAGTACAGCTACATATTAGTCTAGCAGAAAACAAAGCCTTACAATTTGAATTGACATGTTCAGATCTTACTCGAAACAAGCTTTCCTACTAGGTGTATACATAATTTTGCATTTGTTATGAACGTTAACAAACCATTTTGTAATCTAAAATTAAATTATTTGACATCATTAAAACATGATATATCAAATTTGGGAATGGATTTATAAACAATTGAAATTAAAGAAATTTTTCCATGCTAGTATTAAAGCTACATGATATAAAATAAAAACTAAAGTACAGAACTTTATGCATGTTTTCTGAAACTTTTCTTAGACTTAGATTATTTTTCCTGTTTGTCCTTCATGAAATGGCATTGATCTATATACTCTATGTTTAAATAAGGTTCATAATAAATTAAATCTCAAAAAAATAAAATATTGATCCCAAGGAGAAATGGAAAAACCTTTTTTACTATTTTAAGTTCATACAGTTAAAATGCCTCATAGATGATAATGTAAATAAAAAAATAGAGGGAGAGTAAGGTAGCATGTGGGTGATAAAGACTGGGTATCTAGTTTCAGTTTTCCCCCTTAGGCTTACTTAGGTTATGTGAAAAGCAAGGGAAGAAAGAAACTATTTAAGCAGGGGTATAATATTTGTTGACTTTGTGCTTATATATTTTATTCTTTCAATACGCATGAAACAGTTTGTATCATGATAAGCAAGGTGAGCCAAATCTGTTGTCGAGCAACACACTGTTACTTAATGGGTTGAGTAGATTCATAACACTAGTGAATTACAGTAGATTTTCTTTGTATAGATGAGTGGTTGCATTTCTATTTTACAAATAAATCTGCCTAAATCATTGGAACTTGACCAGATCCTTCAGCTGATGAATATTTAGAATACAGTACAGGAACAAAAAAAACAACAACAATTAAAACTCTGTTGTTTCTTTAGTGTTTCAGGTATTTCATGCACATATGCAGGGAAAATTCTAGGGGATTCAGCTGAACCCCTTATTTTGTGATGTAAAAAAATTATGCTTATATAGTTATAGTACAGCTGCTTATAGTCCTTAACATTTTCTATATTCTACTGAGGAAGCATTAGCATTTTTTGTCTTGAAATAGTCACATGCCCCCAGACCCCCATAGCATTAGCATGCTGATTGTGCTTAGCACAATGTGTTGACTTTTGATCCCACAAATCAGAACCCTCCTTTCAAACATTCTGTGTACAGCTCTGCAATTTGTAAGTGATCATTTCTTTGTTATTTCAATACTATATAAATATTTAGAAAATACTCTGCTCTGTGTGAAAGGAGTGCACTGTACAAGTCCTTATTTCTCGATTACAGAGCTATGGCAATAAAATATCAGCATCTAATAACAGCGTACACGCACTACTGATATTTAGTTATTGCCGTGCAACATATTTTCAAAAGATCATATGTTATGTGGTATGTTACTTCTGCATGATGCAGGCATTTTATTATTTGGTATCAATTTTAAAAGGCAATTTACATGTTCATTTGAGAAAATGCACCAATTCATTGAACTTTCGTAATAACATTTTATTTCCACAGAAACTGAGATAAAAACATAAACCAAAAGTAACGAAACATGGTATGCATATTTTATAACTAACATCTTGTCAACAAAATTATTTAGTTTCGATTCTCCTGAAACTAGTTTCGTTTATTTACACGAGGGTCATAGACAGAAGGGGGGATCGAACAATGACAGCAATATAATAAAAAGTCTAAAAGGTCCACTAGTTTGTTTTTTAAAAATAAATACTTGACTTTCATGTAAGTCATTTAAATTCTTTTTAGAAAAAGTGCTATGCCCCTGATTAACACTGGTGTCTTATGGATATGAATTACACAGTCTTATGATTTTCTTGTACTGTATCAACTCAACAAAACACTGACTTACACATTTTCAGAATCAAAAATGTATTGCTGTATGACATTACCTTTTCTAATTAGATACTACAAGTATATAGTTTGACATACTTGTTATGAAGATAAATTTAAAGACAATCTCAAAAGATCTTTGAATTACTGTACACACATTTCCCAGCTCTTCTAGTTTGGTAGTTTTTCTGAAAATGCAACAAAGGCAGAAATTCTGAATGACTACTTCATACCTGTTCTTACTATTAAGCAACCACTGGAACATCGAAGCAGACTTTAAATTCTTTAATGGTTTGATATAGAGATATCTCTGGATTCAGTGAGGCAGAAACTGTCTAAACTCAAACCAACAAAAGTTTGTGGTCTGGACAAAATTCATTTGAGTATCATATGGTACGTGTGGGATCTTGACAAATCTCTTTCTTATATATTCAAAATGTCATCACATTCTGCTTAGGACTAGCATTATGCTAACACTATTTAAAAAAGGAGCCAATTTTGCTTCTCTGAACATTCTACCTTACAAAAAAGTCTATTGGAATAAAAATAATATTTTCGTTCCTTTACCCATCTACATCTTTGAGATTTTTTTCAATTTGATGACAGAGTGATATCATGCCTTTAGTGATTCATATTTCCTTCTTATTGTTAATTTGGAGTCCACTTATTTAATAGATCACCATAACTTCCTTTCAGTAAAATACAACAGTATGAGAGTAGCTTCCCTTAAAACTTGCCATCCCACACAATCTCTTGTAACTTTACAAACATTTAATTGTATTCATCTTTACATTAAAGAAACAGCATACTTATCTGTGATAAAGTTGTAGTGATCTGATATCGATCAGCAGAACCATACCAATGTTTGGTGGTGCTACCCACGGTACAGTCCTATCAATTATTGTCATTGTTAGTGACTTATACCATCCACCATGTTTAATTATTAATTAACTAATTAATAATTAGACCCATGTGATTTTATAAGCTAAGTATGAAAATGATCAAAGGTATATGGTACTTGGCTTTTTGCATCAAAATACGATTTATTGTTTCAGCAATTGTAACTTTGGCACAGAAAATTTTGTATATCATTAACAATATTATATAAACATATTTTACAGTCATTGTTAAAACTAAGTGAAAAACCATTTCATATTAATAAATGAGAACAATTTATTTTGGCTTCACCACAGAAATGTGTTTTAGTGTTAACTGTGCAAATATAATTTGTACAAATCCTATTTATTAAAGTTTGTATCATTCTATATTTACGTATATACCACTCGTGCAGAATCCTTAAAAGTTACAATAAAATTGCTTTACCACATTCGTTTACTGTTTGTTTTTTAAATGTATGTGAATTTTTGTTTCTATGGCACATCTTATTCCTTTATTATTCAAGAAATGTGTTTGTCACTCAAATTGTTATATTACTTATTTATTTGCTTTCCAAGGAAGAAAGGTCACTTGAAAATCTAGAACTTTATATTAATTGAATATCAACTGTTAGTTTGAGAATTTAAAAAACAAATTTATTGGTAAGGAGAAGAGTTTATAGATATCAGAATAATTCTGAGCTTTGAACAGCTAATGTAAGTAACTTCAATTTTAAAATTATACCAAACTTTTGTTTAAAGTCCACTCAATACTTTGAGTATTCACACTAAAATGTATCCATTCTAACTATACTTTTGCCCTGATCACTATGAAACAAATGAATTAACTTTCCATAAAGTTTTTCATGTACTTATGTTACAAAAAAAAACAACCAGCGAGTTCTAGACCACGACGATGACGACAATTATCAATTTTGTGATGCTTCGTTCTTATGCAATAAGCAGGACTACCACGAATAACAAAAGTTACATTCAAAATATATTACTTTCATGAGGTCTAAGTAAAAATGCAGGTAATGACAAAAAAGTTTTGTTTTGAATTTATTTACTTACGAATTCTTAAAATACAGCCTAAAAATAACAATATTTACAGTTCTGTCAAACTGGAAAACCTGTTTCTTTGGCAATTCCATTTCTTCACATGCAAGACCAAATTCACCTATAATGAAATATCCATGTACACATATAAACATACTGATTTCACTATAAGTATATAAATTATTTTTGTTAATATATTTTTTATGCTAATTCTAAAGTAATGATTATGTATAATTAGCAACATCCAGAGAACATTAAAAGGGTAAGAGAAAACGGATACTTTCATGCTTCGTGAGGTAAGACTTTTTTGGGAGGTAAAGGGTTAGGGGAGACTGAGTTGCCTCTGATACAAAATAGGGTAAAAAAAATGATCAGAAACAAACAGATCTCCTTTTACACTTTTAAAAGCTAAAACTAAACAATGAATGTTTGGATATTAACACTCAATAGCATATCACAGTTATTTTTTTTTTTATGTAAAGAGTTACAAGTCTCTGTTTTCCATTTGTTTTAAAACTGAAATAATGTTTACTCTCTAATAAATTAACACGCAGCTAGGAAAGTGTGAAATCAAGCATATCTTTCAGTAGTTGTTAACAATTCTTTATAACTGAGAAAAAGGACATATTTGAGTCATAAATGCAGAGGCTTGATCCCACCAAGTCCCGCCCTCGTGCATAATGATCTTTGGTTCAACATGAAGTTTTAAGTAATTACTATGATGGCTATATCCTTTGAAGTTCATTACTGATGATGGCACAATTCATATATTGCTAAATGTAATAAGCTCATATTAAGGAACAAAAAAGATATCATTACAAGCTAAGAACTGTAGTTTCCAGATGTATTATTTCTTGTAACTAAGCTATGTCAGTGATGAGGAATTTCACTAAAAAGAAACTTCGTCTGACTTGAATTAAATTGTCTATTATAGTTAACCTTGATTTTAGGAGAAAATGAATTCTCTGTTGTTGTTTGTTTTTTTATATAAAAAGCTAAATTGCACATAATTTATTAAAATCATAAATAATTCAAAAAATTAGCTTTGTGAAACTATGGAATTATATGAATGTATAAAGTAATTACTACGACTCTAATTTCATCTATTAGCCATTCAAACTTTCAAAAATACTTCACAATTAAAGTACTTTTTACTGCAGTCTTCCAAAAATAATTACAACAAAATCTGCCATTTTGAAATATGATAGTTTTGTGAATAAAAAAAGAAGAAAATGTGCTTTCAAAAAGTAGTCTTCTCATGAAGATAAGATCACTTTTTTTTTGCAATTCCAAGTTCTTAGGTAACTTCTTTAACTATTACAAGTATAGATAACACTTTTCCTACATATCTAAATGAATTTATATAATTTATTCAACAGTTAAATTTTATAACCCACCTGTTTGTTGAAGGAAAATATCAAATGTGTTCTCTCTTCTCAGAGGACAAGCTATCCAAGCTTCAGCCTGAGGTTGTTTCGATAAGAACATATGTAAAACTTTAACAAGTGGTCTGATTAGTGCAGGGTCATATGTGACATCTGTAGCGATATTAAAAATAGCTCCAATTACAAAAAATAAATCAAGCAATAAAGACCACAACACTATTTACTACAATGGGAAACCAAAACAACAGCATGAACTGTAAACATTATTAGTAAGAAAATTGATATGTAAAATTCAAAGATTTATATTTCAACTATTAACACAATAATAACACATATTTCCCTCCATTGATTAATATACTAATTATGCCCAAAACACAGATATATGAGTATCATGTTTCCAAAGGTCTTTTATGCGTTACATGTTACCAACCAATGGTTTCTCTTGTAACTATACACATAGTTGTTATGAAAATTCAATAATTCAGATTTATATAATACTGATATTACTACATAAAATATTATTGTTTAAATATTTTAGTGAATTAAGGAGAAAAAAATATGTAGAAAAATATATAATATTTAGCATCAACTTTTCTATGAATTAACAAACCTGCTGCTAGAACAACATCAACCTGGAAAGAATCTATTTCCTTCTGTGTTACAGCTTCCCAATCCAAGGAAAGGATGCAAACATCAGGTTGGCTTGTTTCAGTAGTAAACTCAGCACAAATTTTTTCTTCTCCTGATAGACTTTGTTCTTCATTAGAATGCTCACACTGATCACCATACAATTGCACTGAAGACAGTTGGGGCCTTGTTTTAAGGTTATCATTTGTACTCTCCTGGTTTCCAGTTGTTTCTAGCATGTACGGTAGGTTCAAGATAATATTTCTGTGGAGCAATCTGAGAATTTCTTGATGACCATCAGAGAAGATATAGTTATGTGGTCTACAGAGCTTACAGACCACTATACCTGTTAAGCCGCTTCCACAACCCAGTTCCAAAATTTTTCTTAGACCAAAAAAAATAAAATAAAATAAACAACATATTAAACAAGAGAGAAAAATTGTGTTTCTTACAAAGATAAAACTTAATGTGCTCAACAAATAGTTGCAACTTTGTTTCTCTAAATATCTTTATGGCTGCATGTAAGTATTAAGAAAAATTGTTCTACAGTTCAAACTGTACAATGTACACTGGAAATTACCCATAGAAAGTAAATGCACAATCTTTTCTAGTTCCTTATTCATTTACTAAAATAGTTCATCTCTATGAAATATAGTGGTGCTTACAGTAATCATATTTCATCACGTTTCTTTATTCAAACCTTTGTTTTACTTGATATCATACGAAACTATTTCACACAAGTTTAGTGATTAGAAAAATACTTATCATGCAGTATAACAAATTCTAAGACACATTTACCAGTGTTGCCAACCGCTCATATATGTGTTTTGGATAAAAAGTACTAACTACTGCTAGTAAAAATAACTCAAAGAAACAAAACAGTCAACAGAATGCAACCAGTTTCTACTTTACCTAGCGCAAGAGCTATTTAATCATCAGAATACGATCATACGGAGGATTCAAGTACAGTTTGTTATTGCTACTAATATACTTACACTTGTTCAATTCTGATTAATCAAACAACTACTGTAATTAGCATATGATTCCTACAGCCATTGAAATATGATCAGTTATTCATAACCGATTCAAGTACATCTAAATTCATCATACAGTCACTCTTATGTGACTCATTACTTGCACCTGCTACAGTTACAAGGTGTGACCCACTGTTCACACCTGATGCTAGCACAGTCACCAGAATGTCACTCATTAATGAAACTTAAAAGTAACAGTCACCAGAATATGGTTCATTATTCAAACCTGTTACAATAACACTTAAAGAGCTTCTACATGTATATGTGTTATGAGAACAGGTTCAAACAAAATAAAGTTATTTAATAGGGAAAATAAATATATTTTCTTACATTATTAAACAAAATGATATATATAAACACATGAACTGATTTATTTCTTATTTAATATATGATGAAAGTACTATACATTACACTAATTTAAAGCAAGGATATCCTTTATACAAAGTCTTTTAATTTTCCAAATAAAACATTTTTTTATCAAAATCATACCTTTTGTGAAGAAAAGACTTCTTTTCCAAGCACGATTCGGCTAAGATTTTAGCACCCTGAAAAAAGTTTCAATATTAACTAATTAGATCAAATATTGGAGCTTAAATATAAGAACCATGCATGAAATTCACTGCACATCTTTCTTGTGAGAAGTGACTCCATTAACGAGAAGATGACCAGAGGTGTCAATCAAAGAAATGTAATGGAACAGTAAAGAACAGGAAATAATTATTCATAAAAATAAAATTTTTATGTATTGTAACATAATATATAAATTTATTTTTTGATCTTTTACAGCATTTGTGGAAAGAAGAACAGACCACAAAACCAAGTAAAATCATTCATTTTCTATGCAACATATGGAACCCCAGCAGTGATTAATGCGATTAATCATTTCTGTTAACATTTTTTGTGTGACTTGTGTGTTATTAGGAACCATGTAACCAACAAAGTCATGGATCAACAACCAATTTGATGAAAAAGTAATTTAAAAAAATGTATCTAAAAAACAGGTTGGATCGACATGGACCTCATAGGTAACTGTATGGTTAATGATAAATATATGAGAGTTGAAAAATGGTGAAAATAAAACTGTTGTAATCTATGATGCCTCCCACCAATCTCTAGGCTACCTATGCTGCCACATTTTTTATGAATATTTTGAAAAGGTATATTTTGTTAATTATTGAAGTAAATTTGACATGAAATAAATTTCTAATTTATTTACTGAGGTGTACAAATAAAGTGATAATGATTAATTAAAAATACGAAAAATTTTCACCAATATGAAAAGACAAAATGTGCTTTGAAAATATATTTACCTGTTGCCTTGAAATTCAAAATTTAAGCCTTAAAATATTTGCTAATACAGTTATTGGTATGCTATTAAAAATTGTTTTTTTTATTTCTGTCAAATAAAATATTCAGTTGCTTTAAGATTACTGAACCTAAAAATGAATTATTTGCAAATTTTCTTAAGCTATACACTTGATATCATACTGTGTCAATTTTTAAGTTTCTTTTATCTTTTCTCTAAATTCAGAAAACTCCACTGAAGAAAAACAAAAAACTTTTCATGAAAATTGAATTCAAATTCTCTACTTTCTCATTAGTTCCTTCCTCTTCACACCAACTTTCGCATTACTTCAAAAAAACAGGAGGGAAACTATTATCGTATTATTGGAGCTGTATGTTTTTATAGTAAACCCATATTACACACAAACACGTATATAACCTTGTATGAACATTACGTAACTGATATCTTAATCATTAAAGTAAGAATATCTTAAGAAAGAACCATGCTTAATGCCTTCACTTTCTTAACAAATGGTTTACAACATCCTCATCAGCCTTAAGATGAAAACATCATCATAATAAATAATCTCAAAAATAAAATAAACTTTCATATGTTCACAGAAATATGCAAAATATAAAGCAGTTATGGTTCATATTCCACCTATCGAAAATTCTGAAATCTTTACAGATATTAAATCTCGTACGTATAAATACTTACTTCCCACGTTCTGAATCCTGTTGTTCCACGTAGAACAATGCATTTACTTTCTTCTAATGTTACAGATGTGTGAGGATCCTGAAATTAGATTCAAGTTAAACAGGTTTTAGTTGCTTATGTAATGTTAAAATTTACGGTCAGTATTTTTTCTAATTTCCTAAGTGTTTTTACAGCTTTATTAAGTTTCAGATAAAGTTAAAAATATGGTTTCAAGTATAATTTTTTTTAAGTTACCCTTGTAATTCTTTCACAGCTTTACTATAAATATCACACATGTGCAACTTTTTAGGCAAAGTGAGAAATAATTTTGATGGTCTACAGTCTTGCATATCTTCTCCAGTATGTGAATCAAGATTTAAAAAATCTGTTCAGTGATTGTTTGTTATTTTTTACATAGCTGTCAAATAAACAAAAAGTATAAATACACACAGTGCACATACTCACACACACACACACATTGTTTCATAATTATTTTTTATCACTGAAAATTTGCTTCTCATTTGAGGTACACATTTGACCAATGAGAAAGTTTAACCAGCCAAGAATAGTAGATTGCAAGTATTTTTTAATCATTAAAAATACCTAACAAAATCTTGTATTTAAAAATTGATTTCAATTATTAGCAATAATATATAAAATGTTTTATAATAATGTCTAGCCTGATAAATCTTAATTGACATGGTTTAATGCAAATTTTTCACATAGGACTGTTTTTTATTTCACTGTATATGATTACAGTGTTCTAACAACATGCTTAGCATAGACATCAAAACCTCCAAGACAGCTTACATTAAACAGTGTATACTAGTAAAAGTTTTTAATATTGATTCCTTCAAGTTAGAATACAATAACTCATGTTCACTGAAAGGCAGTGACTAGAAAAACTATCTTAGTTATTTCACTCTATATACAAGCACTATTTCACAACTGTGTTTTGTTTAGCGGTTTCCATGGAGGTCAGATACAAACCTTAACTGTTGAATTTAAAATGCACATCATTATCAGTAAATTTTTTGATGAAGGCTTACAGGTGAAACAAAAAAAAACAGTACTATACTAATTATTTGCTGTTAATGAGGCCTAAGAATTATAAAATAATGTAAAAAAAATAATAAAATATGAAGAATGTACTTACTAAAAGGTAAGTACAGTAGGATATGTCATTGTCTATTTCAGGAACATTAACAGTTTCAGCATAAGCTACATACATCTTTTCTGAAATCTCATGACATTCCATTTCTACCTGTAAAACAAGATAAAAGCCTATATTACCATATGAATGTTATTGTTTTTTTAACTTAAGGTTTATGGGAATTTTAGACTTTCCACTGTAGGTTATCATCAATAAAACTTTCAATAGCAAGATAATATATGAAATTGTCCGTTCCAGTGTATACAAACCGGCCGAAATTTGATACTGTTTAACAGTGTTGCAACCAAATTTATCAGTTCAGATATCTCAAATTCACTATAATGACTCATAAAGCCACGAGGAGTAATAGTTGAGATTTCTCCCACTGGCTTCCCCAACAAATGTCATTTACTGAGACATAGCTAGGTCAAAAACAGTGGGCATACTATTGCAACAACTAGGGACAATTAAGAAGGGGGGCAGGATGGCCATTTGGCCTGGGCCTTAAGCTCAAAGGGGACCTCAAAGTTTTATTAAATAAAAAAATATTCAAATTTTTTTTTCATGTTTCATCAATTTTTATTACGGGCTTCGAAAGATAGACGTGGCCCAGGCCTCTCTGAGAGGGCCTTGCAACAATGATATAATAATTTTAAAAAGTTTGCAGTTGTGTGGAATTGGATTAGCATTATTTCTCCCTTCAAATGCAGAGATCTGTTGGCACATAATCATTAGATATATTACCATATCATTACATTTATTACATTATGCACACATAACTTTTGTTAATAATACTTACACATTTCCTACTAACATTTTGTTTAATCATCTTGTCTAACCTTAAACTACAGCATATGATTTAGCTCAACAGTCATATAATAATGTACAAGATGTTTATTTGTATTTGATGTACAGCCATGTTAATTTTTGTAGACACAGATACATGTTGAGATGCAGTATATAAATGCTTCATTTCACTGCCAAGTTAGAAAGTTCTCGTTAGTTTTTTTTTCTCGTCACCACCAGTTCCTGATTGGATTTGCTGTTCAGCATATGTTTGTCGATGTCCGGTGTTTATGAATTGCCTGGTGTAACTGTCTTTATTGAGCTAGTCGAGGCTATCGTAGATAACCTAGATTCCTTTTCCCAACAAGTAACTGATTATTAGAAAAAATACATTAAATATCAGTTCATGAGGTTTCACAAAAAAACAATATATATTCTTAAACCTTAGAAAAATGACTGGTTCTCATCTTAACAGGACAAGTCATATATCTATATATATATAGTACGAGTTAACTGAGTATTGAAGATACACAGAATAAAATGTACATTAGTCAAAACATTTAAATCTGATGTTCTGAAAAAAAACCCACAAAAAACAGGTTCTGTATATTACCAGTTTACAATTAACATTGGAAATATACAAAAAAAAAGGTCTGACCAAAAGAAAACTAGATTTTTGAATTACTTTCCCAGAAAACAATGTTTCACTGTACATATAATATTAAAATTAATTTTCTGATCACTAACACTATACATCACTAGATTGAGCATGCACATTTATAAAAAGTTGTTCACACAAACATATTTACTGTTGTTTATTTGGCTATGTACATGTATATTTGGATGATTAATAAAATGTATGTGTCAATAATCCTGGAATCCAAATCATTATTACATGTGCAACATAACTAGCTACTAAATAACAAAAGTAAACTAATAAATTTACTTACAGTACCTTTTTCATTAGAGATTTTAAAAACTTCATTCTGTAAACTTGTGATGGAGGAAACTGCTGTGCCAGTGGATGGTAAACAGTAGAACAGAGAACATTATTCTGATCTTCTTCATCATAAGATAGACCTAATTTCTGACATAAATAAATGAAACTGCAATTTAGGTTCTTCTGTTTTTCAGGTCAGTTATTTTTTTATTCATCATATCTATATTTATTATGTTATTTTTCATAAAATCAACACACATTTGCAAACAAAAAACATGAGGGGAGAACAAAAGTGAATACCCTATCTTTTCTACCAATTCAAATTTCTTGTAAAATGGCTTGTCATGAAAAAGGGAGGTAAACCATCTAGGCAAAGAGTGTTAAAGTAGAGATCATAATGACAGCATTAAAGCAAAAGAACAACACAAAACACTTTTTTTTAATGAAAAATGTAAAATATCACAAAAATTCAAAGCTCAAATAATGACAAATGAAAAGCCTGTAAAATATAATAGAAGAAGCATTAAAAACTGATTAATGCTGAGTGGTGGCAGATAAAGGGAAACTTGTATGAAGCAACATTAGTATGTTATGATATAATGTGACCATGGAATTATTGGATATTTGTTACAGATCCAAGAGATATAACAAGAGAATATGAAAATAACAGCTATTATTGAGAAGAAGGATTATTCACAGAAGTAACACTGCTATGTAATCAGTTTCTGGAGAAATTACTAAACAAACTTGCTGCTCCTAATAAAGAAGAACTTGGATGACATCTGGATAAGAGATAGGTGAACTTGCATGTATGAATAGATCAAGCAAATAGATCAAAGTTTTGATAATCCAGCCTGTCTGTGAGTAAGTTCTCCAAGATGCTTTAGAAGAAGTCCTTCAACTTTGAAATTATCAGCTTATTGTCCATATAAAAATGAAAACTTGTTCTCATATAGAAGTAACCAAGAGGGGCTGAACTGAAATATTTCTCAAAAATGTATGGAGTTTGAACAAATACACATACCCCCAATACTTTATAGCTCTTCCATCTTGAAAAGACATAAAGCAACAACTGGTTCATTTTAAAAGTACCAGTAAAATAACATGGATTACCCCAAAATAAAAAAAAGCTGAGAGAAAAAAAACAACCAGAAACCATTTCATAACCTGTATGATTAGGAGGCTGACCTATTTCTAATGAAGGAAAATTATGTAAAACATATACATTACAGGTAAAAAGCAAGAATAAAAAAAAAATTATATTAGATGACAAAATCTCAAGATTACCAAAGAACAATGACAAAAGTAGTCTCAGATGTAGAAAAAAAAGTAAATTAAATTACTCGCTCATAATCAATAATAAAACCAGATAAGGTTTCAGAGGGAATCCAGAATCAACAAGGCATCTTAACTCAATGAAGAGAAGCATGCCTTAAAGTCAAAGTTCTTAAGAAACATAACTATAAGGCCAATGGAGAAGCAAAAAAGCTAAACCCTCTTTGACAAGAAGCATCAAAGTGGTTAGCAAGTCAATGCAAAAATTCAACTAATACGTCAAAGTGCTCAAATGGACTTCTCAAAAGATTGCATCTGTTTGCGCAGGAGATAAGCTACTTAAATGGATTGATTGTTGGTTGAATGGCTGAAGATAGTTATATATGGGGGAAAAAATCACAATGGATTAATGTTCCAAATGGAACATACCTCATGGCTTTATGCTAGGTCCTTTGCTATTTCTAATTTCCATTCATGACACTGATAAAGGAATAACCAACAGATTTGTAATTAATATTAAAATAACAAGTATTTCAGGTTTTACTAAAGATGATGAAGTTTTACAGAAAGATCTGAACTGTTTTGTTATCACAATATTAAATAGTATTACATAATTGCAGTAAAACTCTAGGTGAAGTTGATGTGGAAAAAGAACTGGGCATAGTAATTTCAAAGTCTATAAAACCTTCTAGACAATGTACAAGAATTAGTAATAAGATAAGCAGGATTTTTAGATTATATATACATAAAACCATTGAGACAACTTAAAAAAATATCATCTATAACACACCATAAAGTGCTGGTAGACCAAATTTGGAATATGATGTTCAGTTATGATTACCTTAGTTGCTTGTTTGTTTGAAGTTAAGCACAAAGCTACACAATGGGCTATCTGTGCTCTGCCCACCACGGGTATCGAAAAACCTGGTTTCTAGCATTGTAAGTCCACAGACATACCACTGTGCTACTGGGGGGCAATTATTACCTTATTTAAGAAAGAATGTTGAGTTGTTGGAGAGGGTTCAGAGAAAAGCTTTCAGGATGATTCCTTGTTTGGAGGAGTTATCATATGGGTATAGGTTGAAATCTTTTAACATTTTGCTATTGGAGAGAAGAAAGGCTCAGGTGGGGAGGGACATGATTGAGGTTTTTAATATTGTTAAAGGTTTATAAAATTAGAAGTTCAGATAATGTTTCATAAAGATAATGTTTCTTTTCTAATAAAGTGATTAGACTGGAATAAATAGTTTGCTTTTAGATGCATTAGAAGCTGCAACACTGGAGTTTAAAAGGAGATTGGATGATTGTATCAAGAGATCAGGTTAAATATAAGAAAAATTATTTGTTTATGTAATTTCTATTACACTGGTAGTGGAAAATAGGAGATAGGCCTAATGGCCTCTTGTTATTCTTTGGAAATGAAATAAAACACTAAAGATCAGAGTGAAAAAAGGCAAACATAAAAAGTATACTGAGAAAAGGCCATTCATTCCAATGAGGTTATTCATCCCTCCCCAAAACATTGAGCAAAAATAACAATTTCATTTAAAATCTATGTACCTATCCAACAACATCTTCAAATCAACTAAACACGTCATCGGGCAAACAATTCTATGAACCTGAACTCTCAACAACAACAAAAAAAAGTCTTGATCTGGATTTGCAACCTCTTCACTCTTTTACTCAAAAAGGATCCATAGGAAGATTTCTTAACTCATAACAATCTGAATCAAGTCAACTCTGATTCTTCTACACAACAGAGAAAACAACTCCAAACCACACACATGCCCCATACAAAGCCCCCCAGTTTTATGCAAGGTCACAATAATTTTATTACTCTTAAATTCCATATTCCTATAACCAAAACCAAGAATTCTAAGAACTTATGAGTGAAAGTAAGTAAGAGTATATAATAATATGTCAACCACACTATATCTATAATATTCAGTGCCAACAAGGTATTTTACCCAATACCAGGGCTCATTAGGCTAGCTAGTAGTGGTCTAGGTATTACCTACATCCATAGTTTCATTAACACACACTGTTATAAAATGTTTCCAATAATCACACTTAAATCTTTCTTTTTATTCGCTACACCAATGCTCCTCTCACACACAAAGTTCTTTCTGACAGTCCATAATTTTTAAGTGATTAACTTTACTTTCTCAATGATGAGACTAAATTTTTCAATTTATGGTTCAATCATTAAGACTGTCCTTTGATGCAAGAGTCATTAGTTATTTTTTCTCAGGCAACATCGTAATGCTAGTAAATTTGGAAATGAACCTTTCCAAAAAACTATCCAAATCACTGAAGTAACAATGATTAACAAAATTCCCAAGATACGCTCTAAAAAACCTCGCAAGTCTCATTCATTTAGTTGTAGCATGTCCACTTATTACCACTCTTAGCTTTTTACCTCTAAAAATCATTTCTTAGCTTTACCGAAAACTCCAAAAGCATTTAATTTTTTTTTTTGGTGTTTTTAAAATGGCTTTTTGAAACTATAATTTAGAAGTTAATTATTAGTTCCACAGGAATATCTCCAAGTTTTAGATCATTCATCAGCTAATTAAATGATATGTATAGCAACGTTTAAGTATGTTGTTAAGTATGCTTGGTATGATTTCAACGATATATAACATACCTTCATTATAAGTTCATATCATTTAGAAAAGCTGAATCATCACGAATCTGAGCATTCTTTAATCTTATCTCTCTTCACAGCCAAAGATAATTATTTTTCTAATTCTACTCTTTTCAGCTGTTCCTGGTAAGAAGACTGAGACTGCATACGCTTTTGAATCAAACTTGTTACTAACAATAAACAACATTATTCGAAGTAATAATGTTTTCTTTACTTTATAACACAAAACTTCCTATTGCTTAATGTTTTTTGGTGCTCAACTGCTACAATGCTGGTAGTAGTACTAAGAATCTGCCATAACTGGCACGTGGTGAGCATACCCTTTCAAATTTTTGACTTACGTTAAAAGAAGTTTAATCGTTGGGATCACAAAAGCCCTGTAAACAGGAATAGTCTACTGTGTATATAAAAATATGTTTAATAAACAAACAAAAATGTCTTGTCACAAATTATTTCATGAAATGGTATAGTAAAAGAAAATTTTTGCTTTACCCGGCAGAGGGCAACAACGACATAACTTGTTTGTTTGTTTGTTTGTTTGTTTTGAATTTCGCGCAAAGCT